AGCATCGCTGCCTGTTGTAGGACGTGCTCCTCGAGTGATCCGGTCGGTGCCGTCGCTCCTGCTGACTCCATGTTGTGAATCCGTGACATCTACCATTAAAATTATAGACTGATCATTTCTTTGTCAGTGGGCAAACGTACAAAATCAGCAGTGGATCAAATACTTTTCTCCCTCACTGTACATGACTCCTGGGAGGTTTATTGCACAATCCCCCGCCCGATGTGGTGGTAATTTGGTCGCCTGCGTTTTGGAAAAAGCGTGCGCCAAATCGAGGTATTCGGGGGGAATGCACACCTTGGAGGTAGTGTCTGTTCTTTCCACCCTCGTCGCACCAATGGTAACAGCTAGACACCTACCCTGACACTCTCGCGACCACCCCGTTAGAACCCTCTGCGGCCATGAAAAGGTGGGGTTGTGTAGTGCTAGCCAGGGAAGGCCCAACACAACAGGGAAATCAGGGGACTCAATAATATGAAAGGTGATTTGCTCACTATGGGTCTCCTGCGTAATCATAGTGACTGGTGCTGTAACCTCCCTAACAAAACCTGACTCTAATGGTCGACTGTCAAGTGCTTTGATGGGCAATGGAATGGACAGGGGAACCAATGTAATACGTAGACTAAGAGCTAAAGACCTTACCATAAAGTTCCCAGCTGCGCCTGAATATACCAGTGCCTTACACTGGGGAACTACCGTGTAATCAGGGAAGTTGATGTGGATGGTGAAATGCGCAGCAGAGGGCTCTGAACGAGTGTGGGTTTGCACTACCTGAGGTAATTCGAGAGTGCCCTGGCTGCCTACCGCCTCCAGAACCAGAAGAACTCTGACGACATCATGCAGCAGAATGTCCTCTCTTGCCACAAGAGTGACACTGGATCTGTCGTCCTCCGTTCTCCCGGAACGCTGCACCACCCAGCTCCATCGGAACGTGATACGGGTTGAAGGGGGGTGAAACGGGCAGGCCGCTTCCAGGACGTTCTCTCAAAGCCAGCAGGTTGTCCAACCGGACGGCCATGTCCACCAGTTGGTTGAAGGTCAACGTGGTATCCCGGCAGGCTAGCTCCCTTCGGATGTCCTCACGCAGGCTGCATCGGAAGTGGTCGATGATGGCCCGTTCGTTCCACCCGGACCCAGCCGCTAGAGTTCTAAACTCCAGGGCAAAGTCTTTCGCGGTCCTCGTCCCCTGCCTCAGATGGACCAGACATTCGCCCGCCTCTCTTCCTTCGGGGGGATGATCGAAGACTGACCGGAAGAGGCGAGCAAACTCTTCGTAGTTGTCCAACACGTCTCCTCCTTCACTCCAGACCACGTTGGCCCACTCCAGGGCTTTCCCCAAGAGGCAGGAGATGAGGGCGGACACCTTCTCCCGATCCGATAGAGCAGGGCTGATGGTGGTGAAATAGAGGTCCAGCTGCGGGAGGAAACCCTGGCAACAGGCCGCTGTCCCGTCGTATTCCCTCGGTCGAGACAGGTGAATACCTCTGGGTGCTGGGGTGTGGGTGGCTGGATCCGGTCGCTCAGCTGGTTCCGCAGGGTTGGGTCCTCTCCTGGTCGGGTCCTCAGCCTGGAGAACCCGATCCATCGCTTCGCCCAAGCTGGCTAACATGTTGGAATGCTGCGGGACCCGCTCAACGACTCCATGTTGTTGGGTGTGTGATTCTGTAGCGGGTGATTTGGACGGAGTCAGGCGCAGGAGGTGTAAATCACAGAATAATGGTTTATTCGGCCAATACAGCGGATCGCAGCAATGCGTAAAACAACTACAGTGCGACTTAATGGCGCACTGGGGAAAACAAAACACCTGGGTGAATATCCCGCCGATAAAGTACATACAGTGCTTGCAAAAGTATTCATCCCACTTGCCGTTTTTCCTATTTTGTTGCATTACAACCTGTAATTTAAATTGATTTTTATTTGGATTTCATGTAATGGACATACACAAAATTGTCAAAATTGGTGAAGTGAAATGAAAAAAATTACTTGTTTCTAAAAATTATACAAAATAAATAACAGAAAAGTGGTGCGTGCATATGTATTCACCCTCTTTGCTATGATCCCCCTAAATAAGATCTGGTGCAACGAATTACCTTCAGAAGTCACATAATTAGTTAAATGAAGTCTACCTGTGTGCAATCTAAGTGTCACATGATCTGTCACATGATCTCAGTACATATACACTGTTCTGAAAGGCCCCAGAGTCTGCAACACCACTAAGCAAGGGGCACCACCAAGTTGTGGAGAAGTCCAGATCAGGGTTGGGTTATAAAAAAATATCAGAAACGTTCAACATCCCACGGAGCACCATTAAATCCATTATTAAAAAATGGAAAGAATATTACATTTACATTTACGTCATTTAGCAGATGCTCTTATCCAGAGCGACTTACAAATTGGCACCACACCAAACCTGCCAAGAGACGGTCTTCCACCAAAACTCAAGGACCAGGCAAGGAGGGCATTAATCAGAGAGGCAACAAAGAGACCAAAGATAACCCTGAAGGAGCTGCAAAGCTCCACAGCGGAGATTGGAGTATCTGTCCATAGGACCACTTTAAGCCGTACACTCCACAGAGCTGGCCAGAAGAGTGGCCAGAAATAAAGCAATTGCTTAAAGAAAAAAATTAGCAAACACGTTTGGTGTTCGCCAAAAGGCATGTGGGAGACTCCCCAAACATATGGAAGAAGGTACTCTGGTCAGATGAGACTAAAATTTGGCTTTTTGGCCATCAAGGAAAACGCTATGTCTGGCGCAAACCCAACACCTCTCATCACCCCGAGAACACCATCCCTACAGTGAAGCATGGTGGTGGCAGCATCATGCTGTGGGGATGTTTTTCATAAGCAGGGACTGGGTAACTGGTCAGAATTGAAGGAATGATGGATGGCGCTAAATACAGGGAAATTATTGAGGAAACCTGTTTCAGTCTTCCAAAGATTTGAGACTGGGACGGAGGTTCACCTTCCAGCAGGACAATGACCCTAAGCATACTGCTAAAGCAACACTAGTGGTTTAAGGGGAAACATTTAAATGTATTGGAATGGCCTAGTCAAAGCCCAGACCTCAATCCAATTGAGAATATGTGGTATGACTTAAAGATTGCTGTACACCAGTGGAACCAATCCAACTTGAAGGAGCTGGAGCAGTTTTGCCTTGAAGAATGGGCAAAAATCCCAGTGGCTAGATGTGCCAAGCTTATAGAGACATATCCCAAGAGACTTGCAGCTGTAATTGCTGCAAAAGGTGGCTCTACAAAGTATTGACTTTTGGGGGGGGGTGAATAGTTATGCATGCTCAAGTTTTCTGTTTTTTTGGTCTTAGTTTCACAATACAAAATATTTTGCATCTTCAAGGTGGTAGGCATGTTGTGTAAATCAAATGATACAAACCCCCCAAAAAATCAGTTTTAATTCCAGGTTGTAAGGCAACAAAATAGGAAAAATGCCAAGAGGGGTGAATACTTTCGCAAGCCACTGTAATGCTCCACCGAGCTATCGACACCTCCACATGGAAACAATCACACACAAAGACTGATGAGGGGATATGAACCAGGTGTGTGTAAAAAAACAAGACATAACAAATGGAATGATGAAAAGAGGAGCGGCAGTGGCTAGAAGTCCGGTGACGACGAACGCCGAAGACTGCCCGAACAAGGAGAGGAGGCAGCTTCGGAGGAAGTCGTGACAATTCACCTCAAAATTATTTTAATTTAATAAATCTATTCAAGCATTTCCACTCATAGGGAGTACCAATGTAATCAATATTTGAAATGATCATGTTTTTGTCAAATAAAATATGTATTTGGGCTTCTTGCGTCAATTTGCAGAGTACAAATGATTTATAAGTCTGTTCCAGACACCTGAACATCTGCTTATGAAAACATTCAGCTCTCCGCTGAATCTAGTTGATGACCCCTGCACTACAGGTAACATAGAATATGCTACAGTGACTAGCGTATATTAATAGAGACCCATGACAGGATGGAATGAGTGAGTAGAGATGACATCCTGTGAATGCCACCTCTCCTCTCTACACCTCTGGCAGGGTGTACTACACATCTGCGCTGTAGACTCACACTTTCCATGCTGTTCAACAACTCACTCGATCTCTGAAGTGGAGTGGTATATATGACGGCAGGGCTGTGTGGAGTTTGAGTTGCCATACCTGGAAAATTACCCTTCGTACTGCGCTTACCTTTTTTTATACACACGATAGTCATTGAATAGAATAGATGTTACTTTACAAAGTAGCTTACAGTCATGTTAAGATCTCATATTGCTGTCAAAGCATCATCATGTTCTGGTCTGGTGAAGAACCTCTTCCACACATGAAATGCACTGATCTATTTCCAGTCTGTGGTTTTCCTGCACAGATCTTGCTGTGTTGCATAGTTCTGGAAGGTCACTGTATTACATTTGATGTGAGGGGATGCAACAGGGCTGCAGAAGATTTGAGTGCAAGGCTGCAACTTGGTTTCATAAGATGTGTGGCTCTGTGGGGCACTGTAATGCCTCCTTATAAAGTGCATGACCTTTGAAACGTCTGTGGTGATGACTCATGCTCTTGATCAGCCTATTTGGTGTTGTTCTAGAGCCAAACAACCAACCTTTAGTTTGATCATTACACTTAGCAACCCACAAAACTGCAGGTAGATGGGGGGCTTGTGAGATTAAAGGTTTCACAGGTTGCATCAGTTCCGACCACCAAGCACTGAGCCGACACTGTATGCGGTAAACCAAGTGGAAACTTAGCACAGAGATATACGGTTATATTTAGTTAAATAATCAAGAACGTTTTCAATAAAAAATAATTTATTAACTATACCGACCATACGTCACAATAAATACACAGTCATTGCCATATTCCTAGAAATTAATATCTAACATTGTAGGGGCTGGGATAGTAGGCTATCCAATCAACAGCAATAAGTTACAGTTACAGGGATTCATGGGTTTCACTGTGGGCTTGGTAAAAAGATTCACATTTTCAAATTGGTGTAGTCCATGTGTAGATCCATTTAGCAGATTTGATTTCAGTCCTGTCCCACTCCAACCACACGCATGGCCTTGATTTAATTAATCGCTCCAAATACAGTCATAATCCATACTGTATGTAATGTCCATTCTGATGACCAGCCTACAGTTTGTACAATCCAAAGGTGGTAGTCCCCTCCTCATAGTTGACTAGGCTGGGGTCCGTCACCCACACACTAAGCTGATCGTCTGGCTCCAGACTGAACACTCCTCCCTGGAAAGCCGTACACACGTCTGTATGATCCTGGTCCCCCAGGCTGCAGTAGGCTGTCATCAGGTCTTTCTCCTCTCCCGTCTCCCCCTTCCTCAGCTTCACTCGGCTGGCCAGAGGGGTTTTGGGGTGCCATTTGGAGAAGGCCACCTGGGAGTAGATGTTGTAGTCTCCAGGCTGCAGCACCTTCAGCCAGCTGGACATGTAGTACTGGACGTTCCTCCGCACTGAGTGGCCTATGTTCCACTCCAGGTACTTTGCTGTTCAAGCAGACAATGTATATTTTTAAGTGCATTTTAAAACCTTATACTGAAACTTATATCTTGAATTGAGGCTACAATTATATGAAAAAAAAGAATGATAGTAATAAGTAACATCTCTTACTTGGGGGCGTACTAGAAACAGGTTGCTTGACTATCATGCGTGCCATGGCTCCATACGAGGGCACACCCCCAGTGAGTTTGGCAGCTGAAACAGAACAGACAAACAGTCAGTCTTCAACCTCTCAGAATTGGAGGTTCTCTGCTGACAGAAGGTGAGCTTGGTAGAGTAGCAAGTAAAGTAAAGAAACGTATACATACGTAGATGCTATAAAATATTTGAACATACCTCTTCCTTCCTCTTGTGAGACCTTGAGAGGAGAGCACAGCATTGCTTAATCATTTGTTAATACTGCATGCTTTTTCTACCACAAATTTACTCATGAAACCTCTCAGATATATTAATTTGAGTTTCAGGAACCTCGGCCTACCATTGCCAGGATGTTTTTGTATTTCTCCACAAGCTTCTTGCAGTCCAGCACTGACTGGCTGTCTTTCTCACACTCTTCAAGTCTTCTCAGGACGATCATGTCATCCAGGTACTTGCGTTCAAGGTCCTCGTGATACTGAGTCCAAACGAAACAGAAATAAACGTTAACTCTATGCTATCTAACTTTATCTTAATATTGGTACTGCTTAAGGATGATCCTATTTCAAGTTCACATCAGGACAAACTTATGAAACATGTTACGACTAAGCATTTGTTGTGCATGTGCTGTTTCTAAATGTATCTGTTGAAGGTTTATTCTGATCATGGAAAGTTTCCTGATAGACCCATTTCAATTGTTTTATAACTGAGGTTCAGTATTTCCTGTGCTTGAAGAATAGGCCTAGGTTGTCACTGAAATATTTTTTATGTTGAAAAGATGCTCTTCATTAAACCCCATCGCTCTTTGAAGAGTGCTGCTCCATGAGGTCTTTCTCACGTATAGTTGACGGGTGTCAAAGTAAACAATATCTCACTCTGTAGGAGAGCCCAGGATAGATTTCAGCTATAACATAGGTATTATACATATAACTAAATTAATAAAGTTATATCATTCCCACTTTAAGACTTTACACACATATTCTTGATAATATTTTAAAATGAAACTTTTTAGGAAAATAGACCTACTGTCTTTATAATGTATTATTTTTTCAATAACTACCGTGAAACATGTTATTCTCAAATAGGGTGCATAACAAAAATAGAATTGTGTCCAAGATCTATGATAGTTCTGAACTTGGCACTAAAAACTTTGCCCAACACCGATGAACCTGAAAGTTATACCCACCCTCAGACATAACCGTATCTATATATTTAAAGAGAGGTGAGTCCTTACCTCGTTGTCCGTGTGGTACAGGTAGGCAAATCCCCCCAGTAGCAGCACCATTTGCAGCACTATCATGCCAATGAGGAACCTGAGGAGAGGTTTGCTGTGGCCTGGTCCTGGTGCCGACATGACAGAGCCTAGCCGTGGGGGAATAGGTGGTGGAGGCATGCTGGTCTGGTACGTGTTGATCATGGTGTTGCAGAGGGATCTAGATACAGAGAGAAGAGATCTGAATGCCTTCACACACCATACACATCTGAACAGCTACCGTCGGCTGTCACTAGCTACCGTATTTTTCTGAGGCCACTTCCTGGAAGCGCTCAACTTTAAGATGTGTGTGCGTGTGTGTGTGTGTGTGTGTGTGTGTGTGTGTGTGTGTCTGAATGCATGTCTATGTGTATGTACAGTGTGTATGGCTTGAAGGCATCAACCCCTCCAAAAATTCTAATTTTACTCTTCACATGCTTCGTAAACAACAGATAGACTAACAGTGAAATGCTTACTTACCAACAATGCAGAGAGAGAAGACAACAACCCCAGACAACCCCGTTTTACATTTAGTGTTGATTCCTTGACCTTTCACCTGTTGGTTTCTCATGTCCAGGTTTCCCCAAGGATTGATTCCAAACAGTTCCCTTCTTGAAGTGGTTGGTGTGTGCTATGATAACAGCATATCAGAAATGCCCATGAAAATCACACAAAGAATTGTTTGAATGTTGCGCAATCAATCAATGCTGAGAAGAGACTGAAGAGAGTCAAAGGTGTCTCACACCAGGCAATTGTTTCTCACACCCTGTGAAGGAAGTGAACACTGTGTCTAACCTCTCTGTTTAGAGATCATCATGATTTACAGTGGACAACATAACAAGCTGAAACTTTACACCACTGAATCAGTTGATCGGAGGCTGTTACGGATACAGGTATCCTGTGACTTTTTGTGTTTTTCCTCTCCTTCTGCCCTAATCACAGGTGTCCTGTATGTTCCTGATTGGTGGTCGTTGGGGTGTCTGCTGATTGCTAAGGTGGACCAATCAGTGAACATTCCTCTGCATTGCACCACCTGTTGCTGTTTTTTCAATCACACATCCCATTGTTTAAAAGCCGGTCAGTTGTGTTTGTTGTTAGAGACTATTTCCGTATGTGAGTATGGATACTGTGGTGTCCTGTGTTTTGTTTACTCACTAAGTTGCTGGTTACTCTGTTTGGTAACTTTGTGTGTTTCTGGGAAAAGGGGAAGTTAAGCAAGCTGCCCTTGGGCATATATTACCCGTAGAAAGAAAACTGTCTATAAACACTAGTTAGACCTGAGCGGACCACCCACTGTATTTTTGTATGATTAGCAGTAGTTTAGCGGTTCTTGAGGCAGGCAAGATCAGTTTAGGGGTGTTTTACACTATTGTTTCATTTCTTGGGTCCTGCTCAGCCCTTTTTCCCAAACCTTTACCGTGTGTTCACAAATAAACATTTTATGTTTGACGGTAGTTTATGGTTGTCGTGTAGTTTTTGTTCTCACTGTTCCATGTCGTCATTCTAATTTGCATGAATTATGTTACGGGTCTCATGTCCATCCACCCTAGACGTTTAAAGCCGCTCAGGTTCGGTTTCCCAATTACTTGACAGGTGTGGCAAGTCCGACAGAACTGAGCCACATCTTGTTTTAAACCAGGCCAAAAGAAATGTCGCAAAACTCGATCATAAGTCTTGGTGACTCCCAGATGTCCGGACCACTGGTGATCATGAGCGAGGGATAAAACATTTTGTCGAAAGGCTGTAGGAATCACTATTTGGTAAACAGCATTCCAATCTCCGCCAGCGTCAACATGGGATGTCCATTTACGCATGAGGAGATTACCATCAATGAAGTATGCCATGTTTTTCTTCTTTAGATCCTCCTCTGAGACAACACTAGAAAAACATTTAGCCAGGCCAATGTCAACCTTTTGGTTAGCGATCAGCTGCTCACGAGTAACTGGTAACTGTATTGCCTCAGCAACAAGTTCCACATCCTTCTTCCTTTCTCTGGACTGTTGGTCAGACTGCACCAGCTTACCAGAGGTAGCACCCGAACTATCCTCTGGGTCACACTCTCTGAATAGAATCGTGTCCGACTATCACTTCACCCACTTGTCGTGCTTGAGCACGTGTGACAGCACAAGCGGGGAACACATCTGGATAACCCTGTGCCAGCTCCTCGGAGAGAGACTGGTCACTTTTATCCAATACCTCCAATACGGGTATCACCTTTCCTCCGGCAATATCGTTGCCCATTATAAATGTCACACCTTTTACTGGCAACATAGGACGTACGCCAACTCTGAACACTCCACTGACTGACTCAGAGTGTACGTTCACAAAGTGCAATGGCACGAATCCCATTTCAATTCCTTGTACTAACACACTGGAACCACAATATGTATTATTGGACAAGGGCAACACATCAGATAGTATGAACGACTGCGCCGCACCAGTATCTCTAAGGATTCTAACTGGACGCTGAGACGCTTCGTCATCTGATATGGAAACAAACCCCTCAAAAATGAACGGTTCATAACTGATCTGGGACAGGGACTTTCAAACCACATTCACTATGAGGCCTCTGTCTTGATTCCGGCCTTACAACCGTACGAATCAGCCCAACACCCGTTGGCGGCCTGGCGTGCTGAGGCATCCCCTATTTGCGTTTAAGCAGAAAGCAATCATTAACCATATGTCCCACCTTATGACAATAGAAACAGTGACGCACATCTTTTGGGCGTGCTGGATGTACTGCTGGTCGACTAGGACTAAAAGTTAACAACTATGCGGCCCTGCTCTCCGTACGAGCCGAAAACACGCTCTTATGCGTCAACACAAACTCGTCTGCCAATACAGACGCTTCCGACAGTGAGGATACCTTCTGTTCGTTCAGATAAACTACAATGCGTTCGGGTAAGCAATTTTTTAACTCTTCTAACAAGATTAACTCCGTATGTGAGTATGGATACTGTGGTGTCCTGTGTTTTGTTTACTCACTAAGTTGCTGGTTACTCTGTTTGGTAACTTTGTAAGACTACTTTTCGTATGTGAGTATGGATACTGTGGTGTCCTGTGTTTTTGTGTACTCACTCGTTTGCTGGTTACTCTGTTTGGTAACTTTGTGTGTTTCTGGGAAAAGGGGAAGTTAAGCAACCTGCCCTTGGGCATACATTACCCGTAGAAAGAAAACTGTCTATAAACACTAGTTAGACCTGAGCGGACCACCCACTGTATTTTTGTATGATTAGCAGTAGTTTAGCGGTTCTTGAGGCAGGCAAGATCAGTTTAGGGGTTTTACACTATTGTTTCATTTCTTGGGTCCTGCTCAGCCCTTTTTCCCAAACCTTTACCGTGTGTTCACAAATAAACATTTTATGTTTGACGGTAGTTTATGGTTGTCGTGTAGTTTTTGTTCTCACTGTTCCATGTCATCATTCTAATTTGCATGAATTATGTTACGGTTCTCATGTCCATCCACCCTAGACGTTTAAAGCCACGGGGTTCATAACAGAGGCAATCCAAAAGAATAGAGCAAAGCAATGTCCATGTGCATTTTAAATGTGACATCAAATTGGTTTAAAGTGGAAATAAGCCCCTCTTTCATCTACAGGTGCCCCAAAACCCACACTGTCTGCCCTGGTTACAGAAAGGGTTTTCAGTTTGCAAGATTAGTCAGTATCCACCACACCAACGCTTGTGTGGCCAACGTTGACACACAAAAAAAAGTTGGATGGTTGGTTTTCTTTAGAATTATGTATGTTGCTTTAAAAGCCACTCCCAGCCTCTCTTTTCATGCATTTATTTGGACCCTAGGACTAGCAAGAATGGAAAGACTGCTAGCTTGAAGACAACATGTTAATATACATAGGGTTTATGGGTGTCACTGAAAATGCAACAGTGTTCTGCATTTCCATGCAACATTTCAAAGGGGGGCTGTGGGCACAAAGACATCCCCTGTGGTCTGCCTTGAAACAGATCTCAAAGAGATGATGTAACCTTTTAGATCCTTTTTGCTTGATGGCCTGCAGTTGTTATGAAGCATTTTTACATGACAGATGTTTGTTCTTCACCCATATGAATAAACATATTTCATGATGCAAATACAAATACACTTTCTTTCTCTCATATCTCTATTCTCTCGCACACACACACTTGCGCACACACACACACCTTAACCTTAACCTTAACCCTAAACCTAACTCCTAAACCTAACCCTAATTCTAACCCTGAACCTAAAATAGCCTTTTTCCTTGTGTGGACCGGCGAAATATCCCCACATTTATTTTTACACCAGTGCTTGGAATGAGCATATTTTTACATCAGCAGGTATCATGACTCATACATGACTCTTTCTCTCTCATATCTCTATCTCTCTCACTCCCTTTCTCACTTACACAGAAGGTGAAAGCGTGCACACACACAGACACATACACACACATGCACACATGCACACTCCTACACACTCTTACAGGGTACAGGAATCACGATGTGGAACTCAGAGCAGGGGAAGACTATGGCCAAGTGGGGGTTTCTCAGTAAATGGAAAGATTCTTGTCTAATTCTATTGAGTCAAGCAGTTTCCATAGAATGTCAACACGTCATCTGCCGGTTCATTTTGGAGTAGTAGTCTACGTCTCAAATGGCACCCTATTCCCTTTATAGTGCACTCATGTTGACTAGAGCCCTGGTCAAAAGTAGGGCACTATAAAAAGAATAGGGTGCCATTTGAGACGCAGACATGGATGTCTTGGGTTGACATTCACTCTGCACTAACAGTAACAGAGGACTTCAGACAAACTAGAAATAAACTAAACTTTTATTTTCATAATGCACATTGCTAAGCAGAGAAATGACACACAATTTGGAGTGTCCCATTATTGAATGCAGCATTGGTAACAAACAACTACAAAAAACACTGTCTTGGCATCAGCTTGGTTATGTAATTATAAGAATATCTGAACAATGCCATGTACTGCAACAATACTGAGACTAATATTGAAGCATATTTACATGCAGACTGGCAAGCTGTCCAGCAATACACAACTGCCAAAGCAATACATTCTACAGTATAGGCATTCGACCGTAAGGCGCTACAGAGGGTAGTGCGTACAGCCCAGTACATCACTGGGGCCAAGCTTCCTGCCATCCAGGACCTATATACTAGGCGGTGTCAGAGGAAGGCCCCAAAAATGGTAAAAGACTCCAGTCACCCAAGTCACTGTTCTCTCTGCTACCGCATGGCAAGCGGTACCGGAGCGCCAAGTAT